TAGACTTTAATGCCATTTAAGAATGAATAAATAGGGACTGCTCATAAAGTTTTTATCTGATTTCTGAAATAATTAGAATGAGAAAAAAACATAGTGAATTGTCATTGTTTTTAGTGTAGCCCATCTTAATAAAAATATTAATCATGGCAATTTGTACCGTAATTTACAATAAAAGATACAAGTAACTCAGTAAGGTAGATTTTCAGGATTTGGTAAGTTTCCACTATAGAGGGCAGTGTGAGTATCTTAGAAGTTCCTGTTCTACAAGAATTTCCCATCTGACAGTAGAAATAAGCTAAAAAGAGTTTTATGAACTTAAGACTATAAAATTAGCAAAATGAAAAATACAGAAAAGGTAAAACCAAGGTCACACTAACATTGAAGGGGTAGAGAAAGAAGAAGACTGAGAACAAATGTTCAGGGACTGGTATTTTGAAGTCAGTAGAAAGTGTACCAAAAAAGAAAGAGTCTATTGCTGCAAAGATATTGAATAAGAGGATTGAGACAAATCCATTGGATTTGTCAAGATATCATTTAAGACCTTTGCCGGAGTAATTTTGATAGAGTTTAAGAAGAATTGGTTAGGTTGTGGTTTTAAGAGCGATAAAGTGGTTAGAAGTAGGAGATGCAGAATTAATGACAAAGTCAACTTTGCTTAACTCTTTGAAGATGGTATATTTTCTTTCACAAGACAAGCTAGACCATCTGCTGTCATATAGGAAAGAAATTCTTTTAAGAAAAAAATTTAATTTGGTTATTAACACTTCTTAGTAGTAGAACCTCCCGTGAAAATTATCATTCTTGACTTACTGCCCCCCCCCACCAGAAGCTCAGAAATTTTCCATTAGAACAGTTTCAATGTCTTAATGGTACAAATTCACTGCTGAGATGTACTGTCATGGTTTGAGGGAGTCTAGAAATAGTACCCTCTGTTCCTTATCCAAGTTCAGAATCACTAGAGACCTAAGCAAATGAGTTCTCTGATGGAATTCAAAATAACTGCTTTAAAATTGGTGAAGGACAGGGCTTATTTGTATAGTCACAAAGGAACTGCTAATACTTTATGGCTGAATTCGATATATTTGCTAATCTTGTCACTGGACAAGATGTGTACCTGGACAGCCAAAGGTATGGAAGAATAGGAAGTTCTTGCCCTTCTAGAAGGTCAGGAACCCAGAAGGGACTGAGTTATGCACAGCCAGTTCTTCTTTCTCAGTTTAATAGTCAGATACATTACTCCGTTCCTAGAGAGAGAATGGAGGTGGTGGTGGGCAGTTGCCAAGGGAGGAGGCAGAAGTGACCAGAAGTGTCACTATAGTGGAAATTTCTCCATAAGGAAGCTTGAGGCCAGTGGGAAAGGGGTTCTCACCCCAATCATTTTATTCTCCAATATGCTCTTTTGAATGGAGGTATAATTCACATAAGCTAAAATGCACAGATTTTAAATGGTCAGTTTGATGAACTTTGGAAAATGTACTATATATTCATGTAATCAGTTTTCTAATCAAGATATGAAACAGTCTAATACTTTATTTCTTTCAGTGCTAACCTGTTCATTCATTTAAAATGCTTAAAATCATAATAAATTTGTAGTAATTCTGTTTGACAGCTTTGGTTGTCTCCGGATGTAGAATTTAATGGACTTCCCTAAGAAGATCTCACATCATTAATAGGCATGTAATTATTCCCATGGAGAGACTGAATGCTTTTTACTAATAAGAAATCTTTTTAAAATGGGATAATCTGTGTAGTTTTTAGTTATATATTTTATATTCTTAAATACTTAAACTGTCTTCATTGATTTCTTCGAATCTTAAAATGTAAGATACTATATTTATACTTTAAATTATATGGAGTACATAGTAGGTGCTTAACAGGTCACATTTACCTTTCCTTTGCTATTGGCACACTTTGGCTCTTAAGTGTGATACAAAGGATGGTAATTAGACAGCTTTCTGCAAAGAAGGAACTCATTCCTTCGTTCACTCAGTTAATTTAAGAAGTATTTACTGGACACCATGCAATGACTATAATTAACAAGATGCCCCATAAAATACAGTGGGGGAGGTATATTAACAATTAAATAAAAAATATAATTAAAAATTGTGACTAGTGCTATGAAGGATGGATACAGTGAAAATGATCCTGAGGGATTAAGAGGAGACTTAGATAAAATGGGCAAAGATGGCCTCTGGACTGGTAACATCCATACTGAGACTTGATCAGAAGGGGATGTCAGGTAAGGCACTTTGGGGATAGGATGAAGGGAAGGAAAGAATTTAAAAAGACCCAGATGCCAATATAGGTAGTACTAAATGAGTCTTAACTGCTTTTTATTACTTGTTGACTGATAGTTTTGATGGATTGCTGTAATTTGACTAACATAAGTCTTATTTTTTTCCCCAGTGTTGGGATAATTACATTTATTACTTTTAATAATATGAACTTAGATATTATACATTATTCATACTTTATTTCAGAAAAATCAATATGCACTTAATAAGTTTGAAAAAGAATATCTGAGATATGACGCCCTACAACTTTTTTTTTTTTAAGATTTTATTTATTCATTTGAGAGAGAGATTGAGATAGAGAGAGAGCATGGCGGGGGTGGGGGCAGGTCAGAGGAGAAGCAGACTCCCTGCTGAGCAGGGAGCCCAATGCAGGACTCGATCCCGGGACTCCAGGATCATGACCTGAGCCGAAGGCAGTCACCTAACCAACTGAGCCACCCAGGCGCCCCTACAACTTCATTTTAGCTTATAGAAGACATACATACAAACATACTTTTTCTTTAGAATAAAAATCAATTTCTCAAAACTGCTTACTAGTTCTTCTTAAGAAAGTAAATATTAAACTTGGATGTGAATGATAACCTGGGATTTTTAATAAAGTATAGGTTTAGGTTTACTAGAGTAGTCAGGTTGTACTACGTGTCCCTAGAGCATTTTAGTATTATTTGATGTAAAATTTTAAGTCTACTTTTTCTTGGGTTGGCATGGAAAGTAATTATCTCTTATTTTATAATAGAGGATTTCATCATATTTTTAGAGTTGTCATGACCTGGCAATGTACAGAAGTCTATTAAAATGTAAGGTATCTATAAGGTCAATACTATTTGCATAATGCTATCAAGACATTATTTGTCTTTTTCACTTTGTTGACATTTGCCTTAACAATGGTGCAAAAGCAATTATGGGTAAAAAACCCAAGGTGCTTTAGGATGTGTGAATCAGAGCTGTAGTAGTACTAAGTTGTACTAGTAGTATTCTTCACCGTAACATACTTGAAGTAGAAAAAAATACCAGTTTCATTTAAGAATGCCCATGATGAAACAGAAAAAAAAAATATTTAAAAAAAATCTCAATATCTGTGTACACATTTTTAAAAATATTCTTTGTAATGAAATGGGGGGTACACATAAAACACTTTAATTGCATTACAAAGTCTGATGACTATTTTGAAGAGAAGCACTTGTGCAGTAGTTTATGAGCTGACCAAGGTACTTTATTTTCATGGAAAAACATTTTTTGTTTGAAAGAACTGACAGACAAACTGGTTTTTCATATTTGGCAGATATTTTCTCACGAATGAAGTTAATTTATCATTTAAGGAAAACAACTGACAATATTTATTGCTGGTAATAAAATTGAAGTTTGTAAGAAAAAATTAGAATTTTGGGAAACTTGTATGACTTCAGCTTGATATTTCCCCAGTACTTACCAGAGCCTTTTAATAAGATTAGTGATGATACTAACAAATGTTATATTTTGAAATAGTACAATGAAATATGTCAATATTTGGAAGATATGCATAAATCCATGACCTAATTTTTTTTAATGATCAGTGCATTGATGATAAATATCTTACATCATGAAAGATTCAAAGTGTAAGAGATCAGTGGATATGAATGTGAGAGTTGGAAGCATTTATTAATATTGTTTCAGATTTCTTATGGCAACCAACCTTTAAAAAACTACCACTTGTCAAGTTTTGGTGTGGTGTCAAAAAATATCCACAGTTAGCTGAAAAGGCTATTAAAATACTCTCCTGTTTTTCAACTATGTGTGTGAGTCTGGATTTTCTTCATCTACTTAACCCAAACAACAGATTACAGAAGATTGAATACAGAAGCAAATAGGAAAATCTAGTTATTTTCTATTAAGGCAGACATTATGGAGATTTGTAAAAATGTAGAAAAATACTATTTTTAATGAGTTTTTTGTTTTTGGAATATATTTTTTTAAATATTACTGTTAACAAATAATTTTATAACTGTTAGAGTCAAGTGAATTACCAAAATGAATCTTAAAAAGTCTTTTAATTTTTAGTTTTTAAATGTCAATAGAAATAATTGGTGTAAATAAAAGCCCTGAATTTTTAATATGTAAAGAAATTTTGACAATCTGTGGAATAGGGGAATCCATATATAATTTAGGACGAGAGCACGGCTTTTATAATCCAAAATGTACATGTTTTGGCTTATAGCAGTATTTTGATTTGAAGTGTTTTTCAAATGGCAGTGTTGAAGTAGGTTTTATAATCATCAGCTTTGTATTATTTTAAGTCGTATTATTTTGAAACTTTTCTAAACCTTCATTTTCATTTTATGTCTTTAAAATGCAGCAGAGGAAGCCAAAAATGAAACAAAATATTATTTTCAAAGCAATGTAATTTTTTGGGGACATTTAGGGTTTTTTTTAAATTAATCATGGCTGGTTTCCTGAACAAGCTAAATATGGTATAGGAATCCTGAAAAAGATGTTCTGTGACAATCTGTATTGTTCCTGAATATTCCTGGTATCTCACGTATACAGAATGAATATTTAATATCTGAGTTAAATGGATACATTTTATTTAAAAAATTTGTAATGGTACAGGCCATTGCCATTTTGTAATGTATGTGGAAGTTAATTCACAATAATGCATGTTAGTGTTAACCGCCATGAAACGTGATTATCATATGTTAGAGTTCTGATTTCTCTTCTTTCTATAAACAGATAATCTCAGTGATACCTTGAAGAAGTTGAAGATAACAGCTGTTGACAGAACTGAGGATAGTTTAGAAGGATGCTTGGATTGTCTGCTTCAAGCGTTGGCTCAGAATAGTAAGTTTCATTATGTTTCAAGTGCCAAACAAAAAAATCAGCAGTCATTCAGAAATTGGTATGTAGTTTAGCACATAATTTGCATTCCCATAACTTGAATTCTTTTGAATCCTATCCCAGAATACTGAGGTTGTTTTACATGCTCCACCCTCCCACCCCACCTCCCCACTCGGGAGGTACTGAAAGCCAAGTTGATAGGCAGAAGAAAGGAGGAATTGATTGGTGGTGATGACATTAATTCCAGCCCCCAGAGAGAGGCCATTCTTTCATTCCTAACAGATAAGCACCATAGTTGTTTTCCTTCTTAACACCTACATTTGTTCTTTGAAAAAGACTGCGTTTGTGTATAGTGGGGAGACTGGGGAGGAGAAACAGAGGGGAGCTTAAAACACCGCAAATTTTTTTCTGAGATCTTATGGTCACCTTTTTAATAATTTTACTTTAAAGTGATGTTTATGGAAATAAATAATGCTTATGCTTAGATTTAATTGGAAAGAGCCATAAGCAGTCATTCAGAAATCCCTTAAAACTGAGGTAAGACTTGATCTTTGATGCTGTGGTAAATAATACTCGTGATAAAAATTATACAACTCAAAAAAAAATTATACAACTCTTCATTGGCTAACAGACTTGTATTGTTGCATTTGATCCATCATATTTCCATTAATTTTTGTATTATCACAGAGAATAGACGGGTACAGAATGATTTTTATCTGTTCCCTTGGTTCTGCTTTGTTGTGCTATGGTTTGTGCTGTACTTGTTTTTAATTATACCATTATCTTATTCTGGGATTAATTATGTAGCAGATAAAGAATTTAGGAGAAAGTATATATTGTTAGAGTTTTAATTTCAAGCACTCAGATGTGTGTGTTATTTCTTATTCTATTTTTCATTTCTTAGTGAACTGTGCTTAGAAAATATAAAATAATTGAATGTGGTACTCTTCATTAAAAAGCACATTTTAAAACTAGCTTGGAAAATTCTTTTTCAGTAATTCTCTTTGCTTTTGAGATTGTAACTCTGTCAAGCTATTCAGTCTTAGAGAAGCGCTTTGAAACAAGGACTTCAATAAGAGCATCGGAATAAGGTTCACCATGGTAAAGAGAAGGAACAGAAAAGGAGAGTGTCTAAGGCTGTACTGTCCATTGTAGTAGATGTGTGTGACTATTTAAATTTAATAATTTAATTTAAATGTGAGTTCCCTAGTCTTACTTTTCAATAGCCATATTTGGCTAGTAACTACCTTCTTGAGGATCACAGATATTAAGCCATTTCCATGATCACAGAAAGTTCTTTTGTATAGCATGGGTCTAGAAGACTAGAAAGAACCATGTGATGACCTGAGTTTTATATGCCTGTATAGACAGATTTACATATTCATGTAATTAGTCTAAGTAAATTGAATATCTCAAGTTCATTTTTTTGGAAGAGTTGTTTTATTATACTCTTCTTTTGTTTTTAATGGCCTGGTTTTTTTCTCTATCTTAGAAAAAAGAATTTTCTAAATGGACCATTTGTTCAGAAACTGAACGATCTGAAGGCAGTGTTCTTGGTTATATGTAGAGGGTTGCTCAACCCTTTCTTGGAAAGACTGATAGAGAACTGAAGTTGAAGAAAATAAATGAAAAAAGGAAGCCAAAGTTTATAACTTTTTAAAGAATAGATTTAAGAAATACTGAGAAGTATATAATTGTTGGATTAAATTTCAGATCCATTGCAGACTTACTCATTGAACCTATTTATTGAAAATAGCCTTGAAATGTATATTATAAAGTGTTAAGGCCAAATAGCCACAAGGTGTCAATAAAAACAACAAACTCTACCAATTTAACTATTGACTCCCGAAGAAGGGAGCAAAAGGAATATGTCTTTTTAAGAATCTGTAACAAAATTCAAGTGTCCTCATATCTAAGACTATTGACACAGAAGAATTTGACACAGGAAGAGGAAGTTCATGCAGATGTTCAGTGTTTAACTTAAGAATGATTATCTGTCATTGATTGAGTGCTTATTATGTACTCAACACAGGACTTGGGATATATCTGTTATCTAATCTAAACTTTCCTTTAGTCCCATGAAGAGGTGTTATCATCACCGTGTAAAGGAAAAAAAAGACACTATAAGGTTACTTGCCTTGCTCTGGCAGAGTCTAGGGTTTGGATTTGAACTCTTAGTCTATAAAAAATTACATTCTGAGTAAAGTGTGGCTTTTTCCTGAGTTTATAGGATGTGAAAATCTTTCCAAAAGATAGGTTTTAATATTGTGTCTTAAATTTTTGCTTTTTCTTTAAAATAGTCTCAAATTATATTATTAAAGATGAGAATGATAAATATACCTTTTTTTCTTGAATTACAGACAGATTTTATAGATATTTTATTGATGTATTTTTTAAAAATAGCGCATGGCTTTTAAACAAGGAAAAGTAAAAAAAAAAAAAATACTAGTAAGATATTTATTTTCTACAGTTGTTCTTCCTCGAAGTGATTGATCCATTGCTACTTTTACCCTCTTAAAGGTAAAATTATAAAACATTTAACTTAAGTGAATCTGTACTGGCTTTTTTTTTGCAGAGACCTTCTAGTGTCATAATTCTTCCTTAGTTTTGGCTGTTTTAGCTAAAAATATCACTGCTTGTACCAGAATTGCACCTGATCAAGAAACAATGATTTCTCCATTCTGTACAAATATAAGATGGTAATGTGTGTAATAGAAATCTAAACTTAAAATTTTATTTTACAATCTACTAACCTGTCATTGGAAAGGACAAATCTGAAAGGAAAGAAATTATGCTTTTTAAAATTTTTACCCTGTGGAAATTTAGTATATTTGAATTACACATCAAAAATTACCATAATCTGAAAGTGATGTATGACTTCAGAATGGTTTTCTTTCTTAAATTTTTTTGGGGTAACATTAAATATAGTATATATGTCAGAATCTTAAGAGACAAGTGTTAGATAATTTTAATACTTAATTGGGTTTTATGGAAAACATTTTACTTAAGCATTTTGTGTAAATCTCTGATCTAAATAATAGAAGCATTCATTCATTCATATAAATACTTTAGATCTCAGTTTTAAAATGTTTTTAGTAAATATTTGAAAGCTACCCTCTAAGAAATCAGATTCTGTTCACTCTTACCTCTTTTGATTCAGAGAATAGAAGATTCTCTGTAAATGCTTATTGTAGTATGGCTACTCTGTTCCATGCTTATTTGAAAATTTAAAACAATAGGCCGTGTTTTTATCCCTAAACATTAGGACAGGAATTGTCGTTAGAGAATATGACATGTAAATCCCCTTGTAAGGCAAACTACTAGCATAAATCAAAGGCCCAAAGACAAGAAAAATTAACAGTCCATTCATAATAAAAAATTCTATTCCATTATAAGAGGATGGGGACCATGTTCTGTTGCTGAGGGAACCACAAAACAATGCCAGCATGATCACCAACACAGCTTTAAATTCTTGTCCTAAAGGATTAGGCTGTTTTCCTCTGTCTCATTGCCTCATGTACCTTTGTGCTCTAACTTTTTTTAATTAATAGCTTAATGACAATTCCTGTTTCCTACAAGAGGCACAGAATTGTTTAGTTTCTGTAGACCAACTCAGTTTACTTTAAAGAAAAAAGTATTTAGTATCTAGTCCACGCTCCTAACGTAATAACAATTCTTATGTTCTTTCTTAGCCTTTGTTCTTTTTTTAATTCATTATATTGATTTTTGGCTCCCTTCTGAAGCTATAATCCTAAGCACACCAGATTATGTATATAAGATGCTAATGTAGATTACTCTATGAATCTTCTCTAACAGAACTTACTGTTGTCATTTGCTTTTAGTCTGTTTTGTGCCTTCAGTATTTCTGAATTGACTTACTTTTGAATACCCAAATTATTTCTTAAGTAAGGGACTTTGAAACTTGTTATCAACTGTTTTTCTTTTCTTTTTAAGATTTTATTTATTTATTTGACACAGCGAGACACACAGCGAAAGAGGGAACACAAGCAGGGGGAGTGGGAGAGGGAGAAGCAGGCTCCCCGCTGAGCAGAGAGCCCGACACGGGGCTTGATCCCAGGACCCTGGGACCATGACCTGAGCCAAAGGCAGATGCTCAATGACTGAGCCACCCAGGTGCCCCTATCAACTGTTTTTCAGTAGCCATATTAAATCTGAAATCACTGGACATGAAAGATTACTGCTGTTTTAGCAGAAACAAAAAATTACTTTATTTCTTTCATGGTAATATCTTGATTTTACTTTTTACCCTAAATTATCAAATGCACCACAGAAGTGATATATTTCTTTTGCAAGCTGAATTCATTATGTTTTCACCTCCTTTACGTATTTTTGCATCATGTGACTCTTTTAGTTATTGTGTCCATTGTCCATGAGAGCTTATTAGTGGTTCTAACCATAAATTATCAAAAGTTCAGTTTTTACTAAGTAAAGATAGCATTTGTAGAATAGAGGAGACTAAAGTAGAGAAAATGGTCAACTAAAAAGCCATTGACAATACTTGAGTAATTGAGAATCCTGGATTGCCATTGAATAATGGCAGCTACCTAAATCTCAGTTTTTCCACACATTCTCTAAAAACTTATACAGATCATCAAAGAGATAAAGTAAAACCAATTAATATAACCTGTGCTTTAAGCATAACTAGAAGACAGACTCTAAGACCTTCAGATTATTAGGGAGAGAAATAAATATCAAAATTTAGCCTACTTAGCGTCAGAGCCCGTGATAGAATTCATTGAGACTGCAGAAACTACATGGAAAAGATGAGAGGAAAATTGGTTGAACCAGGAGCCCAAGGGAACATAGTTAATAAAAGTGCCTTAAGAAGAAAAAGTCCTAGCCTGGAAAATACTAAGATATGGTCTTAGATTGCAGATGATAAACATACAAATTGCTACAATGAATAAAGCAAAAAATAAGAACCAACGTTTTAGCTATTAAAAGTTTTCTTCCTAAACCAACCATAAAGCAGTTATCAGTAA